TTCATATATATATTTCATAAAAAATTTAATGTTTATAATTAATAATTTATTTCATTTTGCATATCATTAGATTTTATTATAAAATCTCTTATTTTGAATTGCATTTGATTGTAGATAATAAGTAATTTAACTTGAGAAAATTATTTTTCATATGAATTTTTATTTTTCATATTTTATAATAAAGACTAATAAAATGTAAAATTATATTTATAGATGTAATTAAAATTTATCATATATATATAAACAATATTTTATTTTTTTTTAAAAAATAAAAAGAAAATATAAAATATTTTAGAAATTATTAAGAATTATTAAGAAAATGATTTAAAAAATATAATTACAAATATAAAATTGACATTTATACTTATTATTATCTTTAAATTATCTTTAGAATGAGATTTATGTGATTTGAAATTAAAAACATAATAAACAATTAATTTTATGACATGAAATGTATCTCAGTTAAAAAAAACTATTTTTTAATAAGTTCATAAAAAAATAAATTTTGAATTTGTAATTATAATGATATAATACTACGACTGCGCAATACATCGCGGCAATATATGATTTTTTTAGGTTTATTAAATCTTCTAATTAATAACGATTTTCTTGTTAGTTTTGTTTCCTTATATAAGCCAAAGTACTTTGTTAACGTATAACTATACAGCATCGTTTAAAGATAAAATATATGTTTTATAGATAAGTAAAGTTTACGTATGTATATCTGCATGTGTAACAACAATTATTTTTAATAAAAAAATTTGTTGTTTATGTTAATATTATAATATCTATATATGAAATATTAACATTATGTACATATATGTTATTATAATAACTACATAACACAGTTGATTGATTGATAAAATATTTAAATATAATTGTTTCGATGTCTCAACGTACAAAAGTCATCAATTTATACAAGACGGTATAAAATATGTATTTCAATTTGACTTTTATTATTAAAAAACGAAATATATTATTTTAAAACAAAATATAAAATATATAATAAATAACAAAAAGTATAATATTTAGATGTATCTTTTATTTTTATATATATAATAATATTTATATCAATGTTTTTAGCTCTTGTATATGGGTCGAGATTATCCAAGAGGTTATGAATTTTTTAGAAAAAATGTAAGGAAAGTTTTTGAAAAAAATAAAGAAGAACGTGATCCTGAAAAAATTGATAAAATGTTGGCACATGGTGATTTTGTTATTAAAGAACTAGAAGCTTTATATATGTTACGCAAATATAGGACATTAAAAAAAAGATATTATGAAAAACCCTAATATATTATATTTATATTATTATATTTGAATATAAAATAAAAATAAAAAATTTATTCAAAACTTTATTTTTCAATTAATTTCATTGTTTTTATTTTAAAAAATTAAATAGAAATTTTTTATTTTATTCAAAAATATAAAATCTCTTAATGATTTTATTAAGACCATGTAATATTTCATAGTATATTATATAATTAATAATTTTATTAATAAATACATATATATTTTTATAATTAAATCTTAGTATTTGTTAGATATGACAGTATAGCCTATGAAGTTATGAAGTTTAAACATTATTTATGTGTAAAATAATTCTCAAATATTGCAGTTTTTAATTTGTGTATTAAACATTTTTATATTTTATTACGGATAATAATGTTTTAAGTTTATAAGACTTATAAATATGGCAGTTTGTGTAGCTGTAATTGGAAAAGATGTAATTATATAGTTTTTCATCTTTTGAGGTTATAGTGAACGAAAAGCTAAAAATAATATTAACTAATAAATGATATAATTAATAATGCACATACTACAATATTAAATATATTTCAAACTTATTTACAGAATTCTCCTAAATATATTAGATGTATAGATGAATCATCAGCATTACAATTTCATTGCAAAGTTCATACATCAATTGACATTATAGAGGAAAAATTAAACGTAGGAAATAAAACTACTATTGATATACGAGATCTATATTTAGGCTTATTATACGCTACAGAAGAATATAAAATGTACATATAATATATATTGTAATTTAAAAATGAATTATATTTTATGCAAAATATTTCACTTTTCAATTGCAGATATGGTTATGTCACAAATACAAAAATCAAATTTATTATTGTATTACATTCATCAAACATATCTCTGAGAGATAATGATGTAAAAGTGGTAAGTTTTTTTCAATTATTTAATATTAAATTTGAAATGATAATGATTTATATTTTACAGATTTTTAAGAAATTACATGCAGCTTATTCTAATGCTGTATGTAATCCATTTTACATTCCAGGTGATCAACTTAATTCCAAGTGAGTTTATGCAACTTGCTGTTGTCTTGATATATATTGATAATAATAAAATGATAATAAAAATATATTAAAATTTTTTCAGATCTTTTGATCTAGCAGTAATGGAGATAATGGGTATTATATCACCTTTTTAATTAATTATATTTGAATTTAATATATTGTGTATATAGATATAATTAAATTACATAAAAATGATAACAAGACTATATTTATTTTATTTTTTTTTAAACATTATAATTTTGAAAGAAAAATTAAGAAAATATATTTAAATGACATCTTGTACTTTACGTTTACATGTCAGAAATAAATACATATATAAGGAGAACAAATAATGAGAAAAAAACAGAGATAGGGAATCAGCGCCATCTTTAGAGTACCATAAATGATATAAGATAAGAAAGAATAACACATCCAAAAAAAGAATAGAAATGGCATAAGACTTAGCTGGCAACATCATTTCTTAAATATTGTACCTTATTGTATCGAATATTGAAAAATATTTTTGAAATATTTATTCAAAAGATGGCATTAACAATCAATTCTATTCTATCTCTGTCTTTTTTTATTATTTGTTTTTTGTGTTTTTCTTTCTTTTCTCTACCTTTGTTTTTGGTTTCATTTTGGTTTTAGAGATAACGCTGATTTCGTAATTTTTATTCTATCTTTTTCTCATAATTTTTTTTTTCTAAGATTTTATCAATTTACCGCTAGATGTCACACAGTGTTCCATTTAATTTAGATTCAATATAACCTATAATGTTAAAAAATCTTTGAAACACGTGTATGTTTTTTATATAATATTTATAAAATATAAGACAAAATGCAACACGACGATGTGAGTATATTATTTATATTTATATTAAATATTGATATTTTATGTAATAAATTGTTTTAGGTTGTATGGAGTGTTATTAATAAATCTTTTTGTTCTTTCAAAGTAAAGTACGTATAAATTGGAAAATACAAAAATAATTTTTCATAAATAATTTTTAATGTTATACTTCATTTTTGTAGTACTAAAACACAGAAGTTTTGTCGTAACGAATATAATCTTACGGGATTATGCAGTAGAGCATCATGTCCTCTTGCAAATAGTCAATATGCAACAATTAGGGAAGAAAATGGTATAATTTATTTATATATGAGAACAGCAGAAAGGTAAAAATTTATTATGTAATATAAAAAATTAAATTTTCTAAAAATTATAATAAACTATAACATACATTTTTTTCAGAGTACACTTTCCAAGAAATGCATGGGAAAAGGTAAAGCTATCTAGGAATTTTGAAAAAGCAATACATCAAATTAATGAAAATTTGCTCTATTGGCCTGGTTTTTTAAAAGCAAAATGTAAACAAAGATTTGTGAAAATTACACAATATCTCATACGTATGAGAAAAATAAGATTAAGAAGGCAAAAACAAATTATACCAATTCAAAGGAAAATTGAAAGAAGAGAAAGACGTAGGGAAGAAAAAGCTCTTATAGCTGCAAGATTAGAAAAATCAATAGAAAAACAATTAATGGAGAGATTAAAACAAGGCATGGTAAATATTTTTTTTATTTTATAATTATTTATATAAGTATTTTTCAAATGAGTCTAAGAAACTTACATAATTTTTTTTTCAGTATAATGATATTTACAATTTTCCACAAAAAGTATTTGACAAAGCTGTAGAAGCTGTAGAAGTTGAAGATGAAAGTGAAGTTGAAAATGAAGAAGAAGAAGAAGAAGAAAAAGAACTACAAATTGAGAGAGAGGTAGAATTACAATTGGAAGCAGATGAAAGAGAAAGAGAAACAAATGAACCTTATTTTGTAGAAGCAGAAACTGATGAAGAAGATGATGACAATGATTTTAATATTGAAGAAGTATCTATGGTAATTTATGTTCTTCATTTAAATATAGATTGTAATTTTTCGTATTCTATTAATACATGAATATATATTAATTGATTTATTAATAGGATGAGGATAGTGATTCAGGACATAAAGAGGAAATCGAATTGTCTGACAATTTTATATCTGACACGAGCGATATTGAAGTAATGAATATTATATGATATAATAATTTATATTTATTCTTATTTATAATTCAATTTTTTCTAAAATTATTGTTTTATTATAGGATACAGTATCTATATTAGATAAAAAAGCAAAGAAATCAATTATCAAAAAAGCAAAATTACAAAAGAAAACCCGTCCAAAAGTCGAAATTGAATACGAAATGGAAGAAGAACCACGTGAAAGAGTTTGAATATAATAGATCTTTAATTAGGATAATTGTAATTATATTTTTAATAAAATTAAAAATTATTTTACAATTTATAAGTTATCCCCTTTTTTAATTTTTGCTTTAATTTTTATTATAGTTTATCTATTATTTTTTTAATTTTTAGTGTAATAATTTTTAATAATTGATTCGTAAGTTCATTTTTTTTAAAAACGAAAAAAATTTGAAGTTGGCGCTAATATGAAATACATGCATTAGAAACATTTATACAGACCATAGATGGCATTTCTTTGAACAGAAATTCACAAACTAGCAGACGATACGTTTATACACAAGGAATAAGGTAAATTCTCTTGATTTTCTGCATGAAGATCATAAATGAATATGAATGAACAAATCATTGTTAACAGAATATTAATTTGAATAAATTGTTATTCATTCGAAATTATGACATGCTATTAAATTTCTTTCTTTTTTATATATACTATTGGAAAGTTATTTAATTGTTCGTATATATTATATATTCTGTTTATCTTTTATACTGATTTGAATTTCGAAACATTTCTACTATTTTAAACAAGAAATAAGATTTTAATTATTTGTTAAATCAATTAACAACCTAACTGTTAAATCTAATGCTATTACATAGATATAACCATTTTAGTAAAGTATCTCATATAATTTAAAGAAAAGAAGATAAAAAGAAAATATTTATTGGCAAGTTTTTAACTAATTAATAAAATTTCGTATCAATTTATAACATAAATAAAATTCAATCATAGTTATAAATTCTGTGTAAAAGTGTTAAATGTGATAATAAATCACTTCCAGGCAAATGTCACGAACATCGCGTTACCCGTGACAGTGCCTTTGTTTGCTATAAATAGAAAAAGTAGGTTATCCACAAAATCAATTCTGAAAATAGAGTAATTAAGTTAAATATGTTTGTTATTTTGTGTATGAAATTTATAAACAAAGATCTAATATATTGCAGTTTTGATTGCTTTTGGAAAAATATTTTTATTTTATTTCATAAATGCGTTTTAATATAACATATTTGTTTTAATTATTTAATAAAAAATGAAATAAATACATAATAAATAACATGTTTATTATAAATAAAACTTTTGATGAATATGTAATTGTAATGTACTAATACTTAATGTACTAATACTGATCATAGTTGTTTAATATTCTAATAAATATTATAGTGTGAATTTTATATAGTAATGATATATATGTTATAAAATAATATATGGGAATAAAATAAAATATAGATTATATTTTAATACATTTTTATAATGTTTTTTCATTTTACTAATATAACATTTTTTGTTACAGGCATATTATGAAATTTTTAAAGAAACTTTTTAATATTTTTAATAAAAATTGAAAGGTGCAAATAATCCTAATGTAGACTGATTTAGATCTTATACCTTTAAATCCTTTTATTTTGTGCTTAAATGCCAAATTTTATTATATAATTTCACAATGGAATTAAACAATGTGGGAAACAATAAAAGTTCCATACATGTGGCAATATCATTCAAAAAATTATGCATAGCAACGGTATCTTTACCTCTTGTTACACTTTTAGTGTGTTTTATTACTGCATATATCTTCCAACAAGATGATATTCATGAAACACATTGTAGAGTATGTAAAATATATATATTTATTATTTTTTAAATTATTTAAATTATTTTAAATATATTTAATTTATTATTTTTTAAAATATTTTTACTTTTAGGTTTATAATGTACTTCCATCAATCTCAGCTATTACTGGTATATCTCCTCAAAGATATTTATGGCGCATAAGTATAGCATTACATATAGGTCCTCGTCTAATTATTGCTAGTGTATATCATTCATATTATTATAAAATACTCAAGACAATTGAAGATGTACCATCTAAAATCATGGGATGTAGACTTTTAAATCTATGTTATTGGTTAAGCATTGCAGAAGTGGCAGCTTTATGTGGTGTTACATATATTTCTAACAGAGAAAATTATTGTGAGTACTAATATAATATAATATAATATAATATTAATTAAAACTATAGTATTACTTTAATAACATAATTAATTCTATAATTCATAATTATAGAAATTGATAAATATTATTTATTTTTTAGCTGTGCATGAAAAAATTTTCATTGCCTTTATGATTAGTTCTTTAACATATATGTTAACAGCAGTAAGATTAGGTCGTCTCATAACACCAAATGCACAAAGTCTTCAGTACAAACAGGCACTTTTTATAACTAGTCTTGTTAGTACTGTTGGACTTATTATTTTCTTCCTAAAACACAGATTATTATGTCATGATCTAGGTAAGAAAAATTATATTTTTTAATTAAACTTAATTGTAATGATGTGTATAAAGTATATATAAAACCGATATATATAAAACCTATTATAATCTTTTTTTTAATAGCATTTAGCTGGTTTTCCTTATGTGAATATGTGATTGCTTCTGCGAATATGGGTTTTCATGTGACCGTAATTCTAGATTTTCCCAAGGAGCAATTGATTGTTGGAAATGGTTTACCTTCCTTAAAGGTGGATTAACTTGTAATATTTTGTACTCATTATTATCTTTTTATTGTCATCAAAGTGCCTACTGCCACTGTCTGGAAGTGCTATTGCCAAAAATGATAAAGAAAATAATATTACATATTATATATAACTGAGTATCCACTGATTGGTAAATATTTATTAATATTATTTGTAAATATTTATATATTATGAATGAAATCAAAAATTTAATAAAATCAAATATTAAAAAAATTGTCTCATTAAAAAAAAAGCAAATATAAAATTTATATTAAAATTGTTATAATTTTTTTTAACTTAAGCTGAATAATTCTATATTTATTGAATTTATATTTAAAAATATTTTTAAAAATATTTATTTGACACATATTTATTTGATTAAATATATTATTTAAATAGATTCTCTTTATTATATTTATAAAAAATATTTTATATATTTGGTGGATACACAGTTTAAAGCACAATATCTTTTTTATTAGCATTATTATTAAGAATTTTGATGTAATAATACTCATTTTATTCAATGTATACTTTGCATAATGCAAAAATTTAAGATATTTTTATTCTAGTATTTCTTAATCATTAATGATTTATTTATTATATTTATTATAAGTCATCTTTCAATAGTTCTCGTATGAAAAAGCACAATTAAAGATAAAAGATAAAAAAAAAATTTTAAAAAATCTAGCGCTTCCAAAGTATGGCACTGGTATCTTCCCAGGCAATGAGAAAAAAAATCTTTAATGGCCTTTTAGGTAGTGGAAACTTGTAGTGATACAAGACAAATATGTATCCTACATACAAACAATATTCAATATAAAAACTTAGAATAATGGAATTTCATATTTAATTTCTATGTCTCAATTTAAATAAGGAAAGAATTAGTATTAGCATAAAATAAAGAATTGTGACATATTAGCTATAAATTAAGAATGACTAATTTATCTATAAATTATAAATTGTTTTTTTGAAAGTTCTTTACAAAGTGAGAAATCTAGTCGGTAATTATTTCTAGTCGTTTTATAAATCTCTTTTTTTTATCTGTTTTAAAATATCATCATTATTACGTCGGACTATTTGACGCATTGTTAGCATGTAGGATGCATTTACATTAACGTGTCTTTCGTCTTTAATGAGGATACGTTCATGGAATAAATGTACGTAATAATTTAAGATAAAGTAGAAATATTATTCATTATTGTACAGTTGTAATAACATCAATATATTTTGTGTTTGGATAANTACATGGAATCGCATATTATATAAAAATGAAGAAAAGAAATTTTATGCACCA